ATCACATATGGAATGTAGAGGGCATTCCGAAGCAACACGACACGAACGAGTGCGGGGTCTTTGTGCTAACGTACGCATCACTGTTGGCACGGGGCCAATTTCCACCTTTCTTTTTCATTGCTGATGATATACCCGCGATACGTCGTCGAATGGCTTTGGACACAGTGGCTCGTGAGTAGTGTGTATATGATAATCCGTAATATGATTTGGAGGGGGGGCGGATGCCACAAGATGGTTTGTGACAAAAACAATGTATATAAGGTGCAAAATATTACTCGATACGCTGTGTCACTTGACCCTTGCAATTTACCACATATCCCTTACACCTCACCCCTTACACCTTACCCCGTTCACCTCACACCTTGCCCCTTACACCTTACCCCTTACACCTTACCCCTCACCCCTTACACCTTACACCTTACACCTTACACCTTACACCTTACCCCGTACCCCATACACCAAACATCTCTTTGTAATGGTTTTTGCACCTAAATCAGCTCAAAAATGACAATTTCAATTTCGTTCAAAAAATATAAAATGTCCGTTTTGACAAAATCGTTGTTCATCAGGGCTTCATTAAACCGAGTACTTCTCCCTTGGGTGCTCCTATCCTATTCTCTCGCAAAAAAGACGGCACCCTTCGTCTTTGTATCAACTATCGCAGTCTCAACCACTACACAATCAAAAACAACTATCCCATGCCCCGTCCTGATGATCTGTCTGACTGCCTCACCGACAATCACTTCTTTACAAAGATTGACCTTTGTAGCGGATATCACCAGATCTGCGTAGCTGAGATGGACCAGCCCAAGACCGCTTCCCGTTCTCATTTTGGGCACTACGAGTTCACCGTCATGCCTTTCGATCTCCGTAACGCCCCTGTCACCTTCCAGACGGCCATGAACACGATGTTCCAAGACCTTCTTGAGGACTTCGTTCTAGTCTATATTGACGACATCCTGATTTACGGTCGCACCTTAGAGGAATACATGACCCATGCACTGTCCTTTGTGCTCTTTGCCACGTAACAAGTATCATCAGGTTTTTTGTTGCTTCATGTTGGACTCCCTGTCGGGTCAATGTGATCCGTCCAAATTTGTGTCGCCTTTGAATAGGAGAGCAAGTAGTGTAGTAGGACTTGTGAGACACCCTCGTGGCAAAGAGCACATAGGTCGTCTAGTGGTTGTCTGACCGCCTGTGAACGTTGCCTGCTTAGCCACTTGTTGACGGGTAGTGCATGATAATAGATGAGTCATTGCATACTCCTGATGGGGGTGTTTTTGATTGCTAAAGGGAATCGCTACGAGATCTGAGCCCTGGCCCCTAAACCACCCAGTACATGCTTTTGTCATCTTGTTGAAAGTGTGTCACTTGTGTTGACAGTTCGCCACCGTAGTTTGTAGCCAAACCGGGTTTCGTAATCAAGGATGTTAGTTCTGGGTTCCACCTCCGTTTGAGCGGAGGATGTTTTCCATGGGATCCATGCCCACTGTGCTAGGTCGAATTCGAGATCTTGCAATTCTTCTGTAGGGTTGTAGATCCTATATTCATCATCTTCAGTTACCCTCACTTTCTTCATTGCCGACGTCGTGGTCGTTACTTTGGCTGCAATCGTCTTAGAGACAACACTTATGATATGTCTCGGCTATCTTATGTTGTGAATGGACCACAATGTCCAATCTCCTGCCAGACTTGTGAGTTTGACAAAAGATAAGGCCACTGTCGGGATAGCTTCCCATCCTCCCGTGGCCCACTCTCCAACTTTCCATGTGGAGGGGACCTGTAGACGCAGCCACCATTCTGGAGGAATTAATTGGAGGAGGGCAGTGAGGTTATCTTGTAGATTGTGGCAACCCTTGACTGTATCTCGGAGTTCCAGACAAGTTTCCCAGCGGTTGTGTTGTTGATTCTATATGTGGCTGATTTTCCAGACTCCCTGCTCCAACCACGTGATCCAGCGTCCATCCTGGGTCATTAGCGTCCAAGGTTTATCAGCTTGGTTTTTTAGCCATTGGTTGCAGAAGAGAGGTTGACGTAAAACTCCTTCCCTATTTGTTGATCGACGAGTCTTGATCGAAAAGATTTCCCTCCAAGATTTGATGAGATACATCCAGTAGTCCATCTGAGCGTTGTGTTGTGGTTGTTGGTGATGCTGTTGCAGTACTCTCCGACAGGTGGACCATGATTTTGACATTAGCCAGTAGTATCCTCTCATGTTAGAAGGGGTGGAGGCCTTCGGTAGTTGTTTGATCCTGTAAAGCGCCAAGGAAGTCCAAGGCAATCTGTGGTTAGTAAGCAGTTTCACTATCCAGTGCACTTAGTTTGCAAAGCTTTGGTCTGTGTGAGTGGGTCCAGAATTCCTAGACCTCCTCGTTCCTTAGGTTGCGTGAGATATGCCCAGGTAACCTTAAGAATGAAGCTCTGGGTGAGGATTACCAGTCCACAAATAAGTTGTGGATCGCCTTTTGAGAGCACTTGTTATCCGTGGCTTTGGCGTCCAAATGGTTGCTGCGTACCAGAGCATCGAAAAGATGGAACCATTAAGTATCAACGCTCTTTCGAACACTGAGGTGTAGATACTTGACCAGTTATCTAATTTGCAGAGCATTCGTATAAGCTTCTTTGGTGCCATAGCATGGTCTGGTCCTGCGTCTATGAGGTTGATCCCAATGAACCGCAACGGTGTCTTGGAATCTTGCCATGTAAACCATTTGAGCATGATATCCTGTGGAGGCCTCGCCGTGTCAGACAGCTACCAGCCGGTGGTTTTTCGCCAGTTAACATTCATTTCTGCTACCAGTTGGAAGACTTGCATGGTGCATGTAAGAGCTTGAAAAGAAGCATTGGAGGCTTTGATCAAGACGGTGAGATCATCGACTAAGAGAAGAGTGGTGGGTAAGTTGACCTCGTGAGAGGGGTGAGTCGGTTCAACAACTAGATGCTCTCCTGCCGGATCCTTTTGCAAGAATGAAGTTATCGCCTCATGGTGAAGAGGAAAAGCGGGGCTGATAGCAGATCTCCCTGACTGAACGACTCATTTTGTATGGCGGAGAGAGGAAGTCGTTAAGTTGCACCTGGCCGTATGCATCGTTGTACAGTACTCTCGCCCATTTGCAAAGATTCAGTCCAGTGCCCATCTTTTCTATACATTGCTGCTGAAAGTTCTTGTAGACCTGATTGTACGTCTTCGCAAAATCAAAAAAGAGTATGGCAGCGCTGAGTTTTTTGTATGTGATGTATCATGCCGACTCTATTAGCGTCAGAACGTTGTCAAGGATGAATCTCCCAGGGATGAATACGGTCTGGTCAATGTGGAAGCAACTCCGGGTGATATTACTAAGCCGATTGGCTAGAAGTTTGATCAGTATTTTGGTACACCACCGCAAGTAGCGCAAGTAGCGTTATCGGTCGGTAATTTTTGATATTTGTGGGGTCTCCCTTTTTGTATACCAGTGTGATAACTCTTGTACTTTATGTACTTACCCTGTCCTTCTTCGTGGTTGACTGTGTTGAGAAAATTCGTGTATTCTCTATCAAAGATTGACCAGAATGTCTGCCAAAATTGCTTTGACATATCATCTCGTCCCCAAGTTTTGTTTGGTTGCAAGGAGTGCACCACTACCTTGACTTCCTCTGTTGTGATTGGTTTGTCCAGCTTTGCGCTCTACTCCTGTGACATAGTTTCATCAAGGTGTGCAAGGAATTTATGTTGTGCTTCTCGTACTTGCGCAGGAGGTTGTTGGTCTTCCCTTGAGGTGTAGAGCTCCTTGTAGAAGTCCATTGCTACGGTCAGCATCACATGTATCTGACGCTGTGGTGTCCCCTTTCTGAAGTTGGTCTATGAGTTTGTTGCGCGCATTGGTTTTGATCTTCTGGAAGAAAAATTTTGTCATATTTTCTCCGTCCTGCAGTTTCTTGACTCTGGCTCGCAGACGTAGCCTGACGTCCTTCCAGGCCTTCCAATTCGAAAGTTTACATTTTGCTGCAAAGAGGGCTTCTTTGAGGTGTGTCTGTCCTGGTTGGGTTATCAAATTTTGCTCTGTTATGTGCAGGATGGCTTCTAACTCCTCTTTTGCCGTTCTTCGTGTTGTGAATATCCTGGATGCCTTTGCTGAAGCATTGGACAGGCTTCCCACAAGTTGTGGAAAAGTATTGGTCCTTGTACCATATGCGGAGCGAGATTCGATGATGTGCTCTTTCATTACTCTAGTTTCCAGTAGAGAGTTATTTACTTCAAAGAATCTCGGTCCCCTTTTCGGAACTGCGTCTAGGAGTACATGCAGATATATGAATTTGTGATTCAGCTGACTGATGCCAGTTGTTTGAACTGCTCCTCGGAGGTTCTCTGAGATAAGGAAAAAGTTAATCCTGGAAGTCGAGACATGTTGACTGCGATTGTGTTTGAGGTACTAAGTGAAAGCTCTGGTTGTGGGCTGCCTCATGCGATAATGATCGATTAGTTCAGGTTCCATTATGAGGTTGTGTATGGATGCTGCCTCATCCCAAACCGCTCCTTCCATCCCCGAAGCTCATCTGTACATTCTATCCAAACCCTGGTCCAATGCTGCGTCCCAATCTCCCGCCATTATCAGATGGGTCGGAGTGGTGCAATGGGGAGAAAGAGAGGCTATGAGCTCAGTTCTCTGTTGCTGAGAGTTGGGACAACATAGTGAAAGAAGTCGGAAACACTCTTGTTTGTAATCGAAATTCACTTTGACCCATCTCCGCTCTCTGTTGTCGTTGTGGACTGAGTCTAATTGCAGAGTCTATGCTGCCATTGATTTGGAATGAATAAGCACCGCAGTGCCCGATGAGCCAGCCCTTGGGCCTCGGGGACGGAACCCAATAAGCTTGTTTTATCCATCTCAGTCTTCTAAGGGTCTCTTGCTGGACGATTTGGTGATCCAGACTACTTATCAAGTGTGTCTCTTGCAGGCATATGATATGTGGTGGGTGAGACCTATACCAATCCAACGCTTTGGTAAAATTGCTCCACTTACAATCATTGGTGAGAATAGACGCCGTGCCATTGACATTCCATGATAAGATACGCGGGTCCGGTGTTGGAGTAATCGCCCTGGAAGCCGGTGTCCTATCCAAGTCGTTCATGAGTTGTCAGTGACGTTCTCGTCTACCTCATTTGCTCCAAATGTACTATTTTAATTTTCAAGAAGGTGACTTCCCTCTTCTGCGCCAAGGCATTGATTTTTGTGTGCCAACTGCACCCATTTGCCAGGAACAATCTATAGTTAGACACCATCGCTGCTGCAGAGGTCACTCTCTCTGCTGCTGGACTCAACTACCTGCCAGGGAACCCACTCCAGGTTGTCTGAAAGGACGAGTTTCTCATTCACCCGGACCATAACTGGCCGCAGATCCGCCATGTGTCGCTACCCTGCAGGGTCCTTCCATCCTTCCACATGATCCTGCTTCACCCCCAGTGTGAACATTGGTGTAAGAACATCTTAAAATTGGGGTGAGAGTGTACCGTCTTGGAGTGCCTGGCTAATCACCATGATGAGGACCCTCCGTCTTGTGTTCTGCGATTTCCCAGTCCTGGTGAGTGATGTTCCAACGACAGAGAATGGATTGTGCAGATGCTCATTTTTCCTAGCGCCCACCCTTGTTGTTGCTTCGACTGCAGTTGTTTGGCCGTCCGCTATCTATGTCCTTCGCTATGTTTTCCCTTTCAAGGAAAGGAGTGACGACCTTGAGATATCATCATGGAACTGACCAGGCCCCAGGCATTCTGTCCAGCCGGCTCAAATCGGGATCCGAATTTGGGGCTCTATCTCAACAGTCCATGGGTGTAGCAACTGAGCAAGGCCCATCGGTTCCAAATATTTATTTTCCACCACAGGTACCACAGGCTTTGGCCATGGTGGGCGAACAATTGTACGGGGGAGGGGGCCCTTAGGCAGGATCAAATGCTCGGTATAAAATATCAGTTGGGTAAATCAGCAAGGAACAATGTTTGACCCAAAAGGCTGAAAGAGGGCGAGAGAAAGAGAGAGAGAAAGAAAGAGGTGAGAAGGAGAGATGGACGGGGAGGAACAGAGTTAAAAAAAAAAAAAAAGAGTCTGCTAGGTACATCAGTTTCATTAGGCGGCCACAAAGCTGGCTAAAGAGGCAGGTATACCCCTCTCCCTCCAGTTAACCCTTCCTCCCAACTTCCCCCTCTCTCCCTCTCATGTTCCTTGCTCCCCATCCTTTGATCGTCAAGGCTTACCAGTTGTCGTCTTTCCATTTCCTTCCTTTTCTTGTCCCCCTTGCCCTGGACTAGTGAACCTGTGTCAATATGAGATGACTGTGAGACATTTTGGACATTTTGGCCAATCAAACTCTTGTCCTTTGGTTCGGGCTGACCGGCCATTGTACTATCCACTCCCTCCTCTCCCTCCTTCTTATCAGTCTGTGTAAATAAAGGATTGCTGATGACAGAGCCCTTGGAAGCTTCCCTCCCCCCAGTCATCGATGAAGTGGATAATGTCAATGCATGTGAACCTGCACGTTCTTCAGAAGTCAATATCTCGTGGTCTGAGTTTGAGAGGCTATCTTGTTCTGTTTTCTGAATTGCTTTCTGCCTTGTTTTCTGACATGAACGCGCATACATCATTGCTTTGACATGCGTATGGAGTTGTCTCAAAGTAATATGTCGCATAGCTCCTCTAAACATCAATGTCGTGTCCGCCTGTCTGTGACTTCTTTGCTGATGAATAATCCTCGTCATTGTGAATGAGTGTATTCGTGAGGATGAAAACTAAGATAAGATAAGATAAAGGAAAATAAGAAAAAAATAGGAAATCAATAAGAAATATTAATAAATATTAATAAATATTAATAATTATTGATAATTGGATGTTATCTATCGACTAATATAACCCTCTGTTTTTTTTTTTGTTTTTTTTTTTTTAATTTGACATTCTGTAATAGAAAAAAAAAGCAATAGCTTCTAATTGAATGGACTGGCTAGTGGGAACAATCAAGATAAGGTTTAAAGGACGAGAGGGAGGTATGTGGATGAGTGATGAGAGGATGCCAATACAATGAATACATCACCCATTTCTCTGTTTTTGAAGCCTATAGCAAACCCGCTCCTTTTTCCTCCTGAGACTCACTCCTCGCGCTGACTGCTTCTTCAAATACTCTTGACCTCTCCTCCCTCCTCATCCCTCTTCCCGCCTGAAAATAATTGGTTGAGAGATGAACACATGGCATGCCACGTGTCTCCCTATCACCAGCTATCGTGTCACCTCCGCCAGCGACGTCAAACAGAAGCCACGTCGAACAGAAGCCACACCCTGCGTGTCCCCTTGCGAGTTCCCGTTGTCAAGACTTGATAGAGGAGTCCCCTGGTCAATACTTGATATCACTCCTCTCCCAATGACAGAGAGAATATCGTTGACCTCTTCTCACAAGAACCCGAACAGGCGGGTACAAAGCTCTTAATAGCGCTGATCGATACTTAGCGTTCCTCTCCAGCTTGGCGAAATAGAATAGCGCAGACCTTCTCTCACCGGAAGGTGCTGATTGATACTCTCCCCTTCATCAGTGATGTCAGGCGCCAAACACTCCGTGACTATCATTGACTATCACTCCTCTGGATCTATAAGAAAGAAAACTTGGCGTGTCTCCTCCACAGGTATAGCACTGACCTTCTCTCACAGGAAGATGTTGATCGATACTCTCCCCTTCATCAGTGATGTCAGGCGCCAATCACTCTATGACTATTTTTGACTATCTCTCCTCTGGTTATGTAAGAAAGAAAACTTAGCGTGTCTCCTCCACCAGCGACGCCAGACATAAGCCGCGTCGTGCAAAAAGAAGAACACCTCCGCTCCCTGCGAGTCTTCTCTTCTCCGAAAGAGAGAAAAACCCGGATGTCGAAGAAGAACACGTGGCTACACACGTGTCACCTTTGCCAGAGTCGGCCCTTTCCCTCCGCTCACAGGGTGCAGAAGAATCGTTATGCCCTGGACGTCGTAAGCCTGCTACGGAACGTCGGGCGCAAGTCGCTCGCTCCAACGGCGTGCGCGGCCTGGTTGCACAATGCTCTCGGCGCCAATTTCTCACAGGAAGCCTAGCAGCCAATCACACCAGCTTCTCCGGATTTAGGATGACGAACCTCTTCCCCTTTGCCAGTGATGTGAGGCGCAATACGCGCCCTACTAACATGTTGCTTCTCCTGGCCGGTGCGTGATGCACGCTCCTCTGGGTGTCAAAAAAGAACACGTGGCTACACACGTGTCACCTTCGTCAGCGCAGGAAGCCTAGCAGCCGATCACACCAGCTTCTCCGCATTTAGGATGACGAACCTCTTCCCCTTTGCCAGTGATGTGAGGCGCAATACGAGCCCTACTAACCTGTTGCTTCTCCTGGCCGGTGCGTGATGCATGCTCCTCCAGTTGTCGAAGAAGAACACGTGGCTACACACGTGTCACCTTCACCAGCGCCGGCCTTTTCCCTCCGCTCACAAGGAGCAGAAGAATCGGTCATGCCCTGGACGCCGTAAGCCTGCTACGGGTCCTCAGGCCACGTTTACTAATACATGACTGGAAGGAGGAGGTGGCCAGAGAGGAGGTGGTGGCTACAGAGGAAGAGATGCAAAGAGAAGGAGGAGATGGTGGAGAATGAGTGGGAGGAAGAGGAGGTGGCGGAAGAGGATGAGGTGGCGGGTGAGGTCGCAGAGGACACACCGGAGAGAGGGACATGGCGGAGGAGGATGGATGAGGTAGCTGGGGCGGACCAGGAGGGCGAAGAGGGGATGGTGCAGAACTGGGAGGAGGTGGGGGACCAAGACGAAGTGGCGGAGGAGAATGGGATGGTAGAGGAGGGGAAGGTGGGAGGGGAGGAGGAGGTGCGTGGGGAGGAGGAACTGGTCGGGGAGGAGAGGGTGGCCGAGGACAGGGTCGCGGAGTAGGGTAACGTAGCGGGGAAGGTCGTGGAGGACGATCCAAAGGACGAGAAGCAGGAGGAGAAAAGAAATAATCAAATGGCGTGGTATTCAGAGAGAGAGAGAGAGAGAGAGAGAGAGAGAGAGAGAGAGAGAGAGAGAGAGAGAGAGAGAGAGAGAGAGAGAGAGAGAGAGAGAGAGAG